CAGCCGTGAAAGTCTTACGCGCACACGTAAACGCCTTTCTGCGCATGCGTCGAATTGACGCATGCGCAGAAAGTTTGTAGCTTTGAGGTCCAGATTATAGATCATTCCGGATTATGGGTGTCCGAATTAACGACTTTTGACTGTATAATTATGACCACCCACATGCTTGCTGATTTAGTATTTACTCACCACTCTCCCATTTTTTTTTAATAAAAAAATAATCCAAAGGCAAAATTTTCTTTGACTTAACCTTACCACTTAACAATTTATAATATCGAAGCAGTAATTGAGGACAAAATTCTTAATAAATATTGGTTACTCTAGGGTGTGCAATTAAATAATAACTGTAAAACCCTGAATAGAATGTTGAGAGTGAACTTTAAATCAATTTTTTTAACTCGTTTCGGAACTCCTCACAGTTGCCTGACTGATTATTATCATTAAGCAGAGAGTGAAACCTTTTCTGCAAAATGCAATATTTTTTTAATAGTTCGTAACATTTTATTTGAATACCCATCTTTCAAATTTTGTCTTAAACTTTGTAATAATTTTAAATTTGGACCAGTTGATGGCAAAAGACTGTCGTTTTAAACTGCCCTGCTTTTTAAATGTAATTTTATTTCACCATTTGCTGTTGTAGAGACATGAGGTTAATTGGAAGCAGGAGTTATGAAAATTGAGCAATGCCCTCCCCGAGACTCTGACCTCTCGAATATGCGTATGTTCACAACGAAGGTGGGAGTTACCTCACATCTCTACTGGTATACAATTTCAAAGAATTCTTACCAATTCATTCTAAATTTGCATATTAGGACATTCACGGTATTTTATAATTAAGGACGCAATTGCATCCATCACCAGAAGGCGACTGTTAAGCATAGTTCATCATAACACAGTCTTTAGCGAGACATTTTCTATCTTTGTATTCTTTAATTAATTCTTGGTGACAGAATGACTGATTAATTTATTGCCGGACTACCACATAGAGTGCAGTTTGTCTGGCTCAATCAAATTTGGCACATGGGCGCATCACATGATACTATCTGCCCGTGGTATTCTAGAGGAAGCGGAGGAGGTGAGGAAAAAAGGGAACCGAGGCATCGCGCGGTCGGTAAGCAGAGGAAAAGCGCAGTGTCTTAAAATTACAATACAGTACAAACACAGAAAGAGAAAAAATATATACCAGATATTGCACACTACTAATCGTTAAGAAGGAAAGTAAGACTCATTTGCCAGGTGGGCCGCTAGTGGTCGAATTTCACAGTCCGCTTCTAGAATTGTATAATTTAGTGTATTTAAATTAGAGAAATGGGCACAGTTGAGAGCTTTCATTAAGAAATTAAGTTTGTGCTGATGCTGCTCAGTTGTACTAAGTTTCAAGTCTCTGTGTAGAGTGGCATTGTTGACGTAGTAATGAACGTTTTAAGTATTCTATTCTGAATTACTTGCAGTTTGTGCAGGTACTTTTTGGCCATATTCCAGGCAGGCGAAGCATATGTAATGATAGGCCGTATGTTCATTATATACACAAGCTGCTTTCGATGCAGATCTAATTTTGAAAACTTGTTAAAGCTTATTGTTGCTTTAAACCAGGGTTTCTTAAACTTTTTTCAGTCACGACGCCATAAGTATTGTGCAAATCCGACACATGCGTCAGTGAAACTGTCGATTTGTTCACTTGTACTGTAATATACTATTTCAGTTTTAGGTCATTAACTTTAATTTCTAATTTTAAGACATAGAACAATGTGATAATTTTAAATAAGTAACAGATGAAATGACAGCTTGACGTGCAGAGCAAGGAAAATGAACGTTTACTATTATAAAAAAATCTGATGTGTACATCACATGACTTCCTTGTACGGAATATTAAATTATATGCATTTTTTCTTGCATTTCATTTAAACTTATTGGATTCAATTAAATCTACTTCGCCGATAGCGCATGAACCACAATAGAATAAATGCATTCTTTAAAATTCACTCTGTTTATTTACCAAAGCGACACTCTGGCGCTAGGTTCACTTAACAGTAATTTCGTTCATATTATAACTCAGAATGCACAAAATTGATATCATTTAAAGAATTATCTAATCGTTGCCACATGCTCTATTCAAATACTATAATAAAGCTAGAACAATGTATAAAAGAAATTAAGCAAACAAAACAAAAAAGAAACAGTTTTTCATTGATGATTGAGTATTTCTCATTCAATTAATTCAGTTCTCACTTCGCGACAAGGCAAAAATACATAAAAACTCAAAATATCTGTATTAAAAATTACGAATTAAATCTTAAACACTTATTTCCTCGAAAAAATTCCAGAAAGGATTAAGCATGATTTAATTGGCAATAATAAATGAATGCGTTATCTTTGTTGTTGTGAAGCTAAGTGGCAACAAATCCACTATCCTGCTATTTCAAATGTAAACAAGCAATGGCCGCCATCAAAAAAATTATTAGGCTTAGCGGCACTTAAACAACTTTAAAATTGTTGATAATTCTAAAAATATTGCATACATATTTACTAAAGGCATAAAATGCTTAACCAGAAGATAAGAACAACATAATTCAATCATTTTTAAAGAAAAAAATGTACAATTTACAAACATATAAGAGTAAAGAAACTGAGATCACTGAGCCGGGTAACAGAGTGGGTATACATATAAATATATTTATATACGTTTGGTGCGGTCGATTGCAACCAAAATACGAGATGCACATCTACATGTTATATCAGTCCTATATACAAAATTTCAACGTTCTGAGGCTACTCGTTTTTGAGTTATGTGAGATACGTACATACGTTTGTACAGATGGCACGAAAAATTCTCTTCAGAATTCATTTTAAAGCAGTTTTATAATTTTTTTTTTGGTGGAAAAGAGTATTTTATTCTTTCCTTACATAGAGATATCATGCAAAAACATCGTTAAATTGCATTTGATAGCGGTCAAAATGGATATTTTATGAAATATGCTGCCTGAAGCTTTTCGCGATTACAATACTTCCTTTTCACTTCGTACAAGGAAGTAAAAAATACGTCCAAACGATTTTTTTTGGGGGGGAGGGGGGTCTGTACTGTCTTCAGATACATTGTGTAAAGGTATTTGATAATTGTAAAACCATTATAGTAAGTTAATGAAATATCAAAACTGCTGCGACCCACAATTTAAGAAACCCTGCTTTAAACGGCCAATGCTATTCGCACCAGTGGTGTGGTTAGCCGCTTAAGCTATTTGCACCAACATTAACCACGCATGCGCATTGAGTTGTGAAATTCCCTCATTTGAACCCAATCGAAAAAAACGGATTCTACGTACTACGGCCCGTTTCCACTACTGCGTACGAATGCGTTGTGTCAGTTGAAGACGTAGATTATTTTCATTTTCCGCCACTAGGTGTCACTGTAATATTTTGGCACCAAACAACCAATTCGCGAGTTATGATGCTGAACATCTGAATTTTTCCCGCTTAAGCGAGTATTGTTTGTTTTATATGGATCCTGATGCAGTACGCAGAAAAGTTTTGTTTACTAAATTCCATGTTACTGGAAATTTTTATTTCTGCTTATGAACTGCGAAAGTAAAGTACACTAGCAATTTTTAGATAAGTAAGATTATAAAGCATATTATAAACATCACTAATTGCATAGAAGCTGAAGTAAATTTTAAAAATTTATTTGCATTTCTAGAAGCCTTAAATACAAATGAAATAATATATATATTATTAAAACTAAAATGCACTGTTACTGAAAAAATAAATAAATAAAATAAAAAAGTTAAAAAATGAATTAAAAAATAGTTGGTTCTTTAAAAATACAGAACAATTGTAAAGAAAGGTTCACAATATTTACACAAAATTTGTTATGCTTGTATACCGCTGACTTCAGGGTCATAGCTGGGCAATTTATTAGAAATCTTGTTTGTTAAAATGCACTATGGGCAGTTATATTTTATGCATAATCCATAAAATATTATTTTTAATTCATATCTTTTTTTATAGAAGAAGTTAAAAAAATTAGCTTTTTTTCTTTATACGTTACACATATTAGTTAAGGAAAATGGAAATATTTAATTAATTAATTCCTGCGCTTCTGCTGGAGAGGACTGAATTTAAAAGCGATTATTATAGTAATTTTTTGTTAAAAAAATTTTTAGAGCATTAATACCGTCTCATGTTAATTGATAATGAAAGTTTAGAGCCGTAAACATCCCAAAGTCTGAGCACACGTATGTACATTCACATAAAAGTGAAACGAAAAAAATTTATATATGTACAAGGTTTCAAAAGAATAAATACTAAAGTTAAATTAAATTTAAATAATTCTATTGCACCATTGCTGCAAGGAATGAAATTTGAATTTAATAAACATTCTCTATTCGTAAAAAGCAAATTTAAAGTTAAATAAATTTAAATTAAATTTAATGCAAACAAATAAATGATTAATTATTGCTGCAAACTAATCTACAAAATCATTTAAATTCTGAGAGCATATGCAAATCAAGTGCAAGTATCAAATTCTATGAATAAATATATAATTCCAAAAATTTATTAATCCTAAAAAAGTTATAAAAATGCATAAGTGAATAATAGGATAAATATTATATTTATTCATGTAAACATTATAACATTATGTATTATGTATTCATGTAAACATTATGTAGGATAAACATTATATTCAATATAAATATTATATTCAATACAAATATATAATTCCAAAAATTTATTAATCCTAAAAAATTTATAAAAATGCATAAGTGAATAATAGGATAAATATTATATTTATTCATGGATTTTGATACTTGCACTTGATTTACATATGCTCTCAGAATTTAAATGATATTTTAGATTAGTTCGCAGGAATAATTAATCATTTATTTGTTTGCATTAAATTTAATTAAAATTTAATTAACTTTAAATTTGCTTTTTACGAATAGAGAATGTTTGTTAAATTCAAATATATATGTACAGGGTATGCTTTAAATTCATTACAAAAACTAAACAATCAAAAGAGGTTTATTAAAAAAAAAGTTAAAATACTTTATTTAAATCTTAAGACTTATAACGCAAGACAACATTTGAACACAATCTCAAGCAAATATTTTCAATCAAAACTTTAACACTATTCAACATATCCTTTAAATGAGGTAATAAAAACTACAGAAAATTTTTACACTATAATAGATATCTGCTCAAAACGTGCAGATAAGGAACTTAAAAGCAACACATTAGGGAATTTCTTAACAATCTTCAACATTTAAGTTAAAAACTTGCACAAATATAAAATTATACACTTTTTTACTCAAATCTTAAACAAACAATTTGTGATCTCACATTCTATATACACAAATTACAGGGATTACAACATGACTAACAAAAACATAGACTCAACAATTGCTTTAGACAACTTGGAAGTGATCTCTGTCTAAAAGTGAATATTATGCAGGTGCAATTCATTCTATAGAAGTGGTGGGACTGGAATAGAAACAACAGCAAGAAAAAATAAGCATTCAGGTTGTCTTGGTGGGTTCAAACACATATAAAATTTATATCAATTGGAAGCATATGATTACAGGTGACATTCACTCTTTACAGCTGATATATGGCATAGAACTGCTTCAGCAATTCTTAAAAAAGACTGTGCTATTGCTGAAAATATACAGTTTTAAAACTGTCAATTTATTTCACAAGTAGTCCACATCACTGAAAAATAAAATTCTTAAAACTTGTTAAATGACTTAGTGATTCAGTCATAGGATGACCTAAATATAAAACAGATTGTTTCTGAGCTTTTTTTTTTTTTTTTTTTTTTTTTTCTTTCTCCTAAGATTGAGCACAGCCTGACTGCAATCAGCCGAAGATACTGCTTAAAAACAATCATTTCTTCTTCTTTTTTTTTAAGACTGAGCAGAACCTGACTGCAATCAGGCAAAGGTACTGCTTAAAAACAATACAGAGAAATCATGAAAGAAAGAAAAAATTCTTTTACATTAACATTAGTGCAAGTTCAAACCAGACTGGAAAAGACAGTGAATACGATAATCATAAATCTGGAAAACGCATAGGGTCTTCCTGATAATCTGAGGGGATTTCAAAATATGAATCGGGGATTTCCACATTAAACTGAAAATCCTGGAATGTGATACATGCAGTCACAGTAGGTAATATTGGGATATCTAGAAGAGAGAGAGAGAGAGAGAGAAAAAAAAAAAAAAAAAAAAAAAGAATAAATAAGTAAATAAAAATAAGATTTTTATCTGTGAAAACTATAATACAATAACATTACTAGTGCTATCTATCACTTTCAGTTTGGATATTCTAGTTTAAACACCTTTTATACAATTATTCAAGAACACTTAAACATTTTAAGACTTAAATATGCCTAAAATTACAAACGGGGGGGGGGGGTGGCATTTTGTTAAAATATTGTTCAGTTAAATGAAAATATGCTAAGTAGAAAAGGTCCTATGTCCTTTCATGTTTTTATATTCCCTGGTGAAATGTTAAGCATTATTTAATCCTTATTATTAAATAACAAAGAATCTATTGTCATAGTCATTTGAGTGCATGAAATTTAGAGCATATTTTGTCATTTTATCATTACCAAGTAAAGAATCATTGCTTAAATTTGTTATGGTAATCTTATTTGTAAATGTACCCTGTGTTTAATAGGAAATAGATAAGTTCCTATAAAAAGGGTATTCCCTGCACTGTAGAAAATTAAAAGTACCTAAAGTCATCAAATTCTGAATATGCATAGTCCTCCACATGAACAAGTGCACTAAAAGTGGGCAGAACTGCTCCTTTATGGGATGAGATCAAAATCTTTACCTATTGAACTGAATCACTTCTTTTTTACTATTCACCACTCACTAATAGTAGTCTTGATGAATTAGATGGGGAATGAGGAGTGAATTAAGAGTAGCATACAAGAATGAAGTGATGAGTGAAAAGAATTGAATTAGGAGTGGGATCAAAAGAATTAACTCAATCAAACTGCTAACTCCCTGGATAGATTTCTTTGCATTATAGTTTTAAAATTCCTGAAACCTTTTTTCATACACAGAATTAACTATAAAATTCTGAAATAAAAAGAGTTAAAAAGTTGGGTAATTATAAAAAATAATTCATTCCCATTTTTCAGGAGAATCATTCCCTCCTTTTCTAAAAAAAGAATCAAACTTTCCTGGCATGCTTCCAGGAAGAGCTATTGCTTAATTTTTGAGGTATCACCATTTGTTCACTCAAAAGTAAATCCCTTTTTTGAATCAGTTCGCAAGTGGAATGTGCACCTTGCAGCAAAAATTTTGAATTTCTTTTTTAATAATTATTTCATATTTTATATGAATTTAAGGAATTTTTGTTACATGCACAGTAATTTAAAAGCACGCAGTGACAACATTGCAAAATACAATATTTTTATCTCCACCAAACTAGATTGATTCCATTCAGGAAAATGTAAGATATTTATCATTCACTTTCAATCAATACACTAATCTATTTAAAAGCAATGTGTTGCCATTGCCTAAAATAAAATACTTTTATCTTCCATGTGCTTATGTTTGCCATTCAGCAACACATAAGATACTTTTAAATTTAATATGTTTGTTATTAACAAACCAAGCTATTTAAAAAGCAATAGATGCAGTTTTTAGGAATATTTTTTTCACTCTTTAAATATGGTTCACATAAGTTAAAAGGCCTTTAAATCATGATATATCTAATTACAAATTTTAAATATCTTTTAGGAATTACACTTAAGACTTGCTAAAATTACTATATCTATATTTTCTTTTTTATACAATGGGTGCTACTTAATGTGATAGTGATTAATGTTGTCATTTGGATATTTTTATCGAACTGCTTAAGTCTTGCACATTTGCATACAAAATGTGAGATAAACATTTATTGTAATCAACAAGTCAGTTAGGCTAATCTTTGGAATATGGTAACACGTAGTTTGGCGACATTTTGGTAAGGCGATAAAGGTTACTAGCTAGGACTTTAGCAGTGTACATGGATAAAGTCAAGAGTGTGCGGAATGTCATTTTTGTGCAATTCTGTGATGTTTTTTTTAAGTGAAAATAGGTCGATGTGTACATGGATGATACCGTGTATGTGTAATTCTTAAAAACGCGGCAAGCAGTGGGCGATTCTGCATTTTGTCCCAATTTCGCACTAATCTTCATCATGATTAAGCACTTTTGTTTCATAAAAGTTCTAGCATAAACGTAATTCGGCTAGCAGATTGTTGGAAAAAAATGATGAGTAAAAAAAAAAAAAAAAAAAGGAACATGCCTTTACTTTGTGAAAACAAAATGGCATCCAAACAAAAACTAGCAGGTTGCTGTAGCAGGGTGGTTGCCAAATGTTCACCAAGTTACCATAATCCAAAGATTAACTGCCAGTTATTGTTATCAAAGTATTACAGAATGAATTTTTTAAACTAAAGTAATATCAAAGTAAAGGATTAAGTCACCAGCTATACTCTGATTTTAATTTAAGGCAACATTAGCCTTGGATCCCTGTCTTAGAATAACCAACAATGATCTGATGATAAGCATGCCAATCTTTTAATAAATGAAAAGCATGCCAGTCTTTTAATAAATGATAAAATGAAAGATGAATTAAAAATGTCTCCAACTAACATAGATTGCAAGGAATTCAGCCCTTGGATAGACACTGATAAAAAAACCTTAAACTGTAGCAGGTTATCTTCTTCTGTCAGCTTTAATGACACAAGATATTTGCTTATAGCTTTTTGAAAATAATCCCACACATCATGTGATAAACTCTCTGAAGATGATGATGAAATTGCATATCCTACAAATGCTAAGTAAGGAATGCCCTATGAATTATTAAGACAAAAGTATTTCCAGTGACAGTATGAACAGTTCAAAAATGAACTTTTGAGTAAGAGTTCCAGATAATCAACTGTTAATCAATTTTCCCTAATTAAAATTCTGTTAAAGTCTAATAATATTAGCTAAATTTCATTTATATTTTTTCATCACTTAATATTATTAAAATAGGTATGGGACCACATTATCACAAGCAATTATACTATACTGAGAGGAGCCTACTGTAATTACTATTTCAGGGGCTAGCCATGTGAGCTACTAGTTAATATTATGAACATTCTTATTGTTATTATGTGTTTTATTTTTAAGAACAAAATCTCATATATATTAATCCTGAAAGCAATGGAAGATTGGCTTTTTAATCCTAAATTTCCTCCCAAAGTCATGAGAAAGTGCTTTCTTGATTATAACTCAGAAATACCTCTGCCAATTTGTACTTAATCTCTTTCTTTAAAAATACCTCTTTAATGGTTTGGACACATACATAAATATCACATTTCTCTTAAAATAGAAGTTGGTCATACAAATTTTTGCTCAAATGATGCACTAGTGCTTTTTTTCAGAGGCTATCTTATTTTTTCATGCAGGGTATTTAATACTGACCCATTTATAACAAACTACATTTATTGACATATTCATGTCATCATCTTCAGGAACATCGTTATAAAGCTCCAATTCCGGGTGAATTTTTTGTGAGTCCATTTCCTGTAGAATCACTCTCATGTTCAGCAATAGATCTCTCAGTAATGAGCACATCTTGTCCATGCAGCCTACTCATAATGCATTGGCAACACAGCTATTATTAATTCATCATTGTCATAACCATTTTCAAGCTTAGGCTTCACAAATTTTCATGCTGACTTTTATCCGCTCTATTTTCACTATAGTATTTTGGCACTTCAGTTTTGATTTCCATGCATGAACGATTCTTGAATGACTTGTTTATTTCAACACCAAGAGTCTGGACATAGGCAGTCACACCTGCAGTTATGATTATTTGATCTATTTTCTTCTTCCTACAAGGATTTTTTTCATATCTTTGGTGTGGTGAGTACTGCTAGATTATCAGACCACATCCCAAAGCAAGCAGTAGCATTAAATCAAATCACCTCCTTATAGCTGCTTGTCTGCACCAGGCCTATTTTGGTTTCAGAAATAGAAATGCCTGAAACATGTTCAACCTTTTTTGAACCTCACCTTTACTGATGATTAGAAGCAGGACATTCTTTTTATCTGGAAGAATTTTCAAAATACAGGTAACAGATGCACTTCTGTACCTTATGGAAGCAAAGTACACTGTTAAGGAATATACAGCGTTTTCCACTGCAAATATATAGGAGAGTTAGCATTCAGAAAAGTCAATGCCATCAACTAAACTGAATGCAAATGCATATTTCATAACTTCAGTATTTTCTGTTGATGATCTGATATATATATATAGTATATATATATATATATATATATATATATATAAACAACCTTTGTTTTTTAGTTAGCAATTTACTCACATAAGATATTATCCAATTCGGTTACTAATTTGAGTTGATTCACACTTTTTCTTCTTGACATTCCTTTCATACACTTGGGTTACTATACTTCGAATTATATTTTTGGATCATTCACGAATCCAACTTCTCTTTCCGAATAACATAAACAAACACAAGATTTTTGTCTTACAATTAATTCCATTCTTGTATTCAGTGGAAAAGATTATCCTTTTGCATTATCTTATTTAGATATCATAATATTATTCCTTTTAACAGTTATGTGTGTGTGTGTGTCATTATGGCAAAGCCTTGAGGGCTATCTGTCTAAGGGAAGGGATGCCTTCATGGAGGACTTTCTGAGGAAAACTGGCTCATATACATGTTACACATGGGGAAAACCACGAAAATGCCCATGCAGCCAGCCCGTTCGAGGAATCCGAACCTCAGACCGAACTAACAGTGTTCAGCGACGTTACCGCTCGGCCGCTGGTGGGCCTTATTATTCCTTTTAAATCTTTTATTATATCATGTACTAACTGAATATTTATTAATGAGATATGCATGGCAACAATAAATATTAAGAATAATGGTTCATAAAAAAGTGACAAAAACTACACAAGCAAAATTTAGAAAACATTTCTTCATATGTGCAATAAGTATATCTGTTTTTAACACAGCATATTGAATTAAAAATTAAAATTATTCACAACCATGCCTATCTTTATGAAGTATGCATGTCTGTTGTGTCTGTACTCCGACTGATCATTATGTCTGGTGTCCATTTAGCTGATATCTTAACTGAAGCTTATTTTTGAGCAGGGATTATAT